CGGGTACAACGACCTCTTTCGCCACATTATAACCGCGGCACCCGCGCAGTACAAGCGAACGTATAAAGTAGCGCGGGCGCGCGCGCACACCCGACGTAACCGTCGTCGTCGTCGTTCTCTCGGGGTGCGGGACCGGATCGCCGCCGCCGCCGCCGCCGAGGATCCCGGGAACCCGAGAGCGCGGCCCGGCTAAAGTTGTTAAACGATATTCCCGGATTCGGCCGCGCGCGCGTCTCCGCGTGTATACATAACGTTGTTATATACGTATACACGCGCTGCAGTACGTGGGCGGACCAACGTTTTCGTTTCTATTCTTTTCATCTCGCCAATAACAATAATGTGCTATTATAATATTATAATATAGGTACTCGTTTATTACCTTTACTTTCGCCCTCGAAGACGAAAATAATTATATATTTAAATGTAATTATAAAAACTAATAAAAAGAGTTAAAAAAATTGTTTACCCCGTCAATAACTGCACGCTGTATTGTATATTATATTCGTAACTGACTCAACAACAGAGACACAACTTGAACGGTTTGTTTTCAGTCAAAGACCGGTAAAAAGCTTGAATATAAGGTTGCAATTTATCCGTAAATTCAAAGAAATAAAGACTAAACTTCAAAGACCGGTATAGCTTTTAAATGTATAATGATCAATTATTATTGAATAAGCAGTCGCGTAAAACCTCCCACGGAGGGAGATATAAAGTCGTAGAAACGATCCGAGGGCGGGCGTGTATATAGTTATTATTTGCAAACCCCTCCCCCTACATTTAAAATATTTAAAATATAAAAATATGTTGAAGTACATAAGTGGTATAGTACTGTAGTATTTATACACTATACGATATATAGGATCATTACAGGTACCTACACGATATTTATTTATTTATTTAATTTTATTTCATATAATATGTATGAATACTGGGCCCCGCTGAGAAGACTAGTGATTTCAAATTATTATAAATATTAAAACAAATACAATACCGATGTCAATATCTAAACTATAATATTATAACTAATTCGTCAGGAGATATATTATTATACTATATAATATAAATTTTATATTTTGTTACAAATATTCCAAAGAATATCAAATTATATGACAATCATAGCGAAATATCGCATTCGTTTTTAAAGTAGAAATCATCCCTTACAATGACGCACGTGGCGCGTATCATATCGATGGGGAATTCAACACTCGTTGTAATTTAGAATAGATCATTTTTCCAATTTCCCGGGTATTGGAGTTGTTTTTTTTTTTGATATTTGAAAATCGAGAATTTATCACATTATACACTTCTAGTTTCGATTGAACATTTTTGCAATGTAATTTAAATTACTGCGTTGTATTTCAATAACAGTGGAAAAAACCGGAGAGGGTCATTCGGTAAATCACTGGATGTGTTCAATTGTTTGAATTTAATAATAAATCATGGTAGGTATACGACGGAAAACGATTCTAAGCGTATGGATGGTCATCGCGGCCTGTAGTTCTAAGAACGTTTAATTTTGTATATTTATATTGCCGTAAATAATTTATTTGCCTATTAGTAATATTATAATGCAGGTCGAAAAAATTGTTTGCTAAAAACAAATGGCATATTATTATAAGGTATAATATAATATAATAATTTATTATACTATTATACTATAGGTAGCTATGTTATTAAAGTATCCAAGTCAATACCGACGTACCGTATAGAAGGGTGTGAATCGGTTCGTGGTATAAAATATAGGTTTTTATTTTTAAAATTTCATTGTGTATAGTAAATAATAGAAGCATTTTTACCGATCCAAAAAGTGTCCATGGGACACAAAAAAACACGACATTGTAAAACCAATACCGCTTCGATCAAAATCTAAAATCGCCGCGTTAAAGACAGGTTTTAATTCAGAAGTTATGTTGTCTAAACAAGAACATTCATGGCATTCGAGATGTTTTAGTACAATGGTTGACGACCGTGGTTTTAGTGTGAATATTTCAATATTATCTATAAATTATAATAATTATATTATATTTCAATTTATACCTATTAAATAGGTAGGTACATAGGCGCAACTAGAGGCCAAACACTGGGGGTGCTAAAATTATGTAGAGAACACGAACCCGCGGGGGCTACGCCCCCACACCCCAAAATAACATACGTCATACTTTGATTTTATAATTACTTTAACCATTCCTAAATGCACCATGAACACATAAGGACACTAATATTTAAGTAAATCAACAGTAATATACCTGATGAATACATGAGGTATATTATATTATTTAGGTGATAAAAATAGTAACCTGGATGTATAAATGGATAAAAAAAAATGTGGTCAAATGGGTACCGCTTTTCTGTACAATAGTTGTTGAGAATGTCGTTGTAGTGGATGTGTTATATTTGAATTCAATTTGAAAAATTTTCTCATAAAAAGTTCATAAAAATTCAAAAGTGTTTAAAGAATTTTCGATGTATGGAAAATGCTAATATAAATATTTGGTGAACATTTCAAGAGTACGGTTATTCATTTTGTAAATACAACAAAATCCAAAAAAAAATCGATTAATGAGAATTAGATTTACCGCTGAATATCGAATATCGTGACAATTATAAGTTCGAACACTCATAAAAAATTCAAGTTTAAGTATACGTTTTTTTATAGGTAATAACAAACTTATGTGAAATCTTTTATTAACATTTTTAATCTTGGGCCTTAACTGTGAAAAGAAAATATTTTATGAATTGCCAAATGAAAAATAGTTAAAAATATATTTTGAAAAATTTCTCAGTTATAAATACCTCAAAAAGAGTCAAAATTGTTTAAACATTTTACCATGTAAGGAAAATTTTAATTTTAACATTTGATAAAAATTTCAAGTATCTATACTAGAACAATATAATATCAAAAATTGGTAGATGAAATTTCGTTAATTTACTGATAAAAATTGAAAGTTCAATGTTGTACACATTTTAGATTCAAACGCTCATAAAAAATGTATGTTACTTTCCAGTAAACTTTTTTTTTTATTTAAGATAGTACCAATTGTGAGGAGTCTTCTATCAACATTTATAATGTTAGCTATGAAAGGAAAAACTTTTATAAATTTCTAACAGAAAATTTCCAAAAAAATTTGAAGAATTCTACATTCTAATATTTGATATAAGTACCTATAATCATTACAAACAATAATTTGTGTTTCTGCTAAAAACGAAGAAATAAAAAAAAACATTAAGTTAAGCTAAAAAAAACTATTTTTTTCATATGATTTTTCAATTTTTGCTGTTTTTAACTGGGGGTGCTAAAGTAAAGTTTGGGGGTGCTTCAGCACCCCCAAGCACCCCCCTAGTTGCGCCTATGGGTAGGTACTATAATATGTATATAGGTACAAGAACACTGAACAATATTAAAAATAAAAACCTTTTCTTAAAAATTTATATAGGTAGTTGAATATTAAGTATAGGTAATATTCCCATAGTCATAAATGAATCCCGCTATAGTATAGTGCTATAATAATACTTATAACTAAATAAGTTATATCAATAATATATACTTTGTAAATCAAGTATTAACCATGAATATTGAATATACAAGCTACCGTGATGTGATATTTTCAGACATTAAAATTTAATAATATTATGGTTGATCAGTGGCATGTAAAATATAGGTCTAAACTCTAAATGACGTCTAGACGACAATAATAATTGTACGAACTATAATTATTATAGTTCGTAAGTGAAAATACTAAATAGTTTATCTAGTTATGATTTAATACCAACTCAATTCGTTTGTATAATACCTTGCTGTGGGCACGGATATATAAATAATAAACTAAATTTCTAACTTCTCGTGATAATAGTTAAACTCTGCAATATCCAAAAGTTTTGTGGGAATTGTAATATTATTATGTAAAATAGCAGAACATTCTGGCCATCCTGCGCAATCGTCGCAATCATTCACAGTTAAATGTCTATAATATATTATATTAATGTATATTTAATATTTATTTATGTGAGTACACATTTTTCATTGATTGTGTCTACTCTGCAGCAAAGATTAAGGCAAATGACGACGATTTCATTCATCCTAATAGTAAACATACAGCAATCTATAGCTATAGTAATAGCTAGTATAGCTAGTATCAGTGTTGGTGCCGGTGGGTGGTGGTGGGTATACTGAATTGAACTTGGCATCAAAAACATTTTAACCTCGACACGCCACGACTGTGGTGCGAATAACTGTAATTACCGATTATTAGTGGTGTGTTGTCAAATTTGCTTTGAACACAACATGACGCACTAATCAACACGATACAGAAATTGCTCGTGGCAAGGATGAATAAATAAACACAATTTGTTTGTTTGTTTTTTTTTTTATTTTTGACAACATTTTTTGTTGTAAGTCTTGACATTCATATATCAGTTCAGGAAAATTACTCCGAACTGCAGGTATAATATTTTGTAAGTATATAAAAAACAATACACAAAATCGTTATAATAATATTATATTACATGAGACTATGAGAGCAAGTTTAAGTGATTTTTAGTCACTTTTCCAAGTAGAACACTATATCAAATTAATACATTAAAATGATAATCCTGTTGAAGAGTCATTGATTTTATAAGGTATAACAGTACCTATAAGTAAGCATTGTTTTGTAACAGGGGCGGATCTGAAGCTTGGTTAAAGGGGGGGCGAATTTTGAATAGGAATATCCATGAGTAATATACAAGTACGATGAGTATGGTCAAACCTGGTGGGTGGAGGGGGTCACCACCCCCAGAAATCCGTATATCAATCCGGATCAAATTGTATAATCCGTATACTATAAAATTATCAGTATACATTTTTTCAACCCCTCCCCCCACCAAGAAAAAGCATTTCCTGCTGTTGCCCCGGCAATGAAGACTTGACTGTAGTTCAAGTAATTTATGGAAAAAGAAGTACAACACTTAAAATTAATTGTAGGTACCTTTATTTGTTTTAAACAGCTATAACAATATATTGTTCAAAAATAGGTATAATTATAATAATAATTGTACGTTTCTTTTTTTTTTTCATTTGCAAATCTATTAATTACTTCTTCTATGTTTACAATAATATCTTTATGCGTGTGCAATAAAGCCAAGCCAGTCAGCCTATGTTCGCTCATTCGCGATCTCAACCATGTTTTTAATCTACAAATTAAAAACAATAAGAAATAAGCAAACATGCAAAGCATTTCGGAATTTAGATGCAGATATTTTCATCTTAAATTAAAAAGCAAAATTTTATTTTTATCATTAGTTATCTGACCTGCGCAAAGTGGAAAAACTGCGTTCAGCGGAAGCAGTACTAATTGGCAAACTAGCAAGTATAGAAATCAAGGATTTAATTGTTGGGAAGATTATCCTACAACATGCATCCAAAGTATCAAAAACATTTTTTGGTAATATATCACCAATGAAAATTGTAATTCTGAAATAGTCTTCACAATTATTTATGTTATTCGGATTTGATCTATTTTTTTGATGAGCTGACACCCTAGGCATTTTCAAATGAATGTCCAATTCATCCATCAACATTTTGCATTCATTATAAATAAATAATCACACTATCACAGATAATTTCTATGTATAAATCATAGATATATTATATTATTAATAATATAAATCTATGGTATAAATACTATAAATAAATATGTCATTGTCTGATAAAGTTGTTATCATTGTTATCATGAAACATAAAGAGAAAAAAAAAATAATAATTAATAATTATTAATTTATAAAAATGTATTGTGTAATGTGTAAATCTATAAATCGAAAATATTAAATAAATCTGTAATAAAAAAAAAAGCCCAAGGGGGGGGTGATCGCCACGTCGCCCCCCCATAGATCCGCCACTGTTTTGTAATATGGTGAGTTTGATTGTTTCTAGTGACGCAATTTCGATGAAAAATCAGGGGGTGCCAAAGCCTCTTATTTTTTTCAATTAGTCCAAAAATGGCATAATTTATAAGGGAGCTAAGCACCCCTAAACCACCCCCAAATTGTGTCTATGATTATTACCTATATTGTAATACATTTTATTTACGCTTGACGTGGATTCAGTTAATATCTAAAATGTCCATAGTAACAACTATACATTACGACATTTATTAATTTATTGACTAATCAACACCAGTCGGCATTTACATAGTTGGTAATGTTTATATATACAGGTTATTAAAAATGATAATATAAATGTAAAAATTATTGTTAATATAGATAATAATATTAAATTTAATATACTAATAACTTAATAATAATCATAAAAGAGAAATTAAAAACTAGGAAGTTAACAGCATCCTAATTTTGAGTGTGGCAATAAAACTAAGATAAGAAGAAATATAATTATATAAACATTGTTTATTACCTTTTATTGAAAAAAAAATAATTTATATTTTTAAATGTTAGTTCTGTCGTTTCTTACGTTTGTATATTAGATTATTGTTCTTTATTAATTTTCTTCAAAGAGAATTTATAATATTTCATTTTGAATTCTTAGATTTTATAATGTTTAATATAGTACATATATATTATATTATTTTCAACATTATTAAATACCTACAGTCTACACATAATATTATATAAACATAGAAATTAGTATATATATTATATGCGTGTTTAATATAATAGGTAGTAAATTAGCGATTTTGACAATTTTATCAATAGTAAAAATCTTTAAACTTGTCTCAAATACCTACCGACCAATTTATTTTTATATATATAGGTCGATAATATTCTATACACTATTAACGAATGGGCCACCTGTTACAAGTAAATTGTTCAAAAAAATACACAGCGCATTTTCAATGAACAAATATAAAAATATTGTGCCATTGATATTCTTATCAGACTTCTATTGACGCGGCCTTTTCATTTTGAATTCCAAAAAAAAAACAACAAAAGTGATTTTAAGTACCTACTTGTTATTGCACTATTCCTCGCACCTGTCATACGAAATCATACTTCTGTATCTATTGGTAAGTTATTATAAAATATATATGTAATATTATATAATATATTATATACAACAAATACATATTCTTAACTCACCTATATTATTTTAACTGTTGTGTATCTTAAAGTCAATTTTTGAATCAAACCAAATTGATATATGTAATATATATGTAACTATGTAAGGACCTATATAATATTATTATGATTATTGGTAATATGGTGAAATGTTTAATATCACTATACAATCAGTAATAAATATAACTTATAAGGATGTAGTGCATATAGGTAAATAATTCAAAGGCTTATTTTGGAGGGAGGGGGCTTAAACAGAGTATATTATTTTAGAAATATCTCCGCTGTAATTTATTTGTGAAAAAAATGATCTTAATAATGGTCGTGTGTACTAAGTAGGAGAAGGAAAATTGCCCAAGTTTGCTTCCGGTTCTAAAATATATGCTCCAGTTTAAAACTTTGAAATTTGATTATAATATAATATTATATTATAGTAATATTGTCATTACATAATAATGCTCTCATTTAAAACTTTTTAAAAATATAAAACGTATATTATTCTTTTAAAAGCAATCTGAGTGATTTATGAAATTGAATTTGAGTTATTTAAGAAACCGATAGTCGAGACGATTTAGATTAAATATTAAAGTAGATTTTTTTTGTATATAAATATTTAATATATATATTTGGTTCACTCACGAGTCACGAGTAACATAATATCGAGAACAAGCTCGCCATTAATGGTGACTTGAAGCTAAACTTTTCCTTACCTATATAAAAATAACCTCTCAGGTAACGTTTTTTTATAAAATCGAAACTTAAACCCATTAATTATGAAAATTGTTTTTTGTTTTTCACTCGACGTACACTCCATGATTTCACACTCATAATAAATTGTGTGTTCACGAGGCATTTGGCGCAACTGTGGTAATTTTGAAATTTGAACGATTTACTCCATATCGAGACATTGACAATTAAATATAAACCTTATCGTTGCGCATCGCACACCAGAGGTTCAACGGACTCGATTCAAACATATTAAGATAATAAACTGGACTCAGTTCAAACCCCTAAAAGTAGCTCAATTCAACGTTATCCAAAAAAAAGGAACACAATAAGGCATTATTTGTGTAAATAATAATAAGGCTTATAAAAACATAAAACTATAATGATCACGCATATCAGTCATAAATGATTGAAAATACAAATACCTAACCTGTATATTTATTTATTTTTGAATATTTTTGAGGAAATCTCGTAGGTACATTATATTGTTTTTTCTTACTTCAAAATATCGTGTACAGACACAATTTTTACGTTTTATTTCTGCACGTCACTTTAAACAAGAAAAAAAACTCAGCTGTCTATTACAATTATTTGGTCAAAGACCGGTTTACTACTATTAATTATCATTAGTACACTATTATTACTATACACTACTACAACTACTACGTCCACCACATACTATACAAGTTTCAACCACCGCCACCTTCACCACTACCACTACTACCACCACCACCACCACTAACCACCAGACACTTTCGAATCCACGGTGGACAGTTTAAGGACACCGCGCATCAGTGCAATATAGTCCGAGTGCCTACAGTTCACAATGTGTATGCACGTGCGTAAAAAAGTCCGATAACCCTGAGGATAGACTTCCGGTGTTCATTCAGAAGATATATTATAACGACGTCGCCGCCTCGCCGTCCAAGGCGCAGTATAAATTATGCTACACGTACAACATCGGTCCAACTGGATAATTGGACTATATTCATTAAGGGGCGTACTCCTGGCGCTAGCCATACACCGCACACCGAGCCACATAATATATATTATTATTATATTATAATATGTACGTTATGATTTTAACGTAGGCGGCTGAGTATCGGTCTGCATATTGTATTTTATGCGTCGTGACTGTGTGTACGTATTATATAGGTATATAATAGGATGTATGCACACTGTATCTCGGCGGCAATCAATAGAACACATTTTGGACGAGCCAGACGCGAAAGGTGTCCGTCCTCCGTAATCAGTATATAAGTAATAACAAATGAAAATAATATAACAGGTGGATTTGTCGAGAGGGATAGATTATAATAGATATATATATAGGTAGGTAGATATAGGTAGATACACAGTGTAATATATATTATAATATCATGGGTATATTACAATTTATAGCGATAGATATCGACCGGTGTAAATATTATTAATATTATCGTCGTGTTTGTCGAATCGGACCGATGAGTACATAATATAAATAACAATATATAGGTATTACGTAATGGAATATACGTCATGTATATAGGTACATCTAGACAAATTGTATATTTAGATCATATTTGATCCTTATAGATCTGTTATTACACGACCGTCAAATGTGGTGTCGTGGAGGTGTGCTACACACACACACCTAAATACACACGTATTATCATCCTCTCATAGGGTGTCGAAACAAAATACTTATTACAAATCGATTCCCCGACTCAGGGCTACAACGGAAACCGCGTGTTTTTTTACAATGAATGTTAAATATTATAATAATGCCAAAACGCCGTGTACATGGATTTATTAGTTATGACCATACGGCTATACGAGAGTCGAGATTAACCGTCATACCTACAGTGGTAACCATCTACATTATAATATGATTATATTATAGCGACGATGATTAAAAAAAAAAAAAAAAACGAATTTATCATTGTTTTATCGTATTTTTTTCCAAACATCCCAGAATTAAAGATTACATAATAATTGTATAAACATTTTTGTCGGTACAATTGAAGGGGGGAACTAACATCAATGCCGCAGATTGTTTTATTTGATGATTCCGCCTATCATTGCGCTTTACCAGCTATTAGCTAAGAAAAAGCCAAAATGAGGTCGAGCCAAAATTCAATGCTACTTAATATTATTATGTATAATACTCGTCTTTATTGTTCTCGTTTATAATACACATATTATGTGACGCCATACAAACTCGTTTCCGCAGATTTATATTGCAATAATCATATGCATTTTAAGCTATTCGTAAATCGACTGTATAAAACCTTCATTGCGAAAACGAAAAAAAAAAACAACATCGTTTCCAAATAGAAGTATGAGAAAAATTCTAGGTATCAAAAATCAAACCATAGTGTAGGTTTAAAATTTTTTTTCGCTGGACTTTTTTACCCCTCTTTTTTGTCCGACTTTTAGATGGAATACTCCTGAGAGGTATAATGATAGTCACACCATAATACAGTATAATATTATACACTATAATATATAATAGAATATAACGTGGGCGGTGAGCTTCGGACATGTCTGAGGAGATTTTCCACGATGTGTGATTATTAATATATATACTTCGGTTTAAGGGGTCCTAATAAATAATAATAGGTAGGTATAACCAATAAGTAAACTCTCTAAATCGATGTTATATATTTTATAGACACCTCTATCATTGGCGAATCTTCAGTTTGTTCTGGGTGTTCCAAAGACCAAAGCACACCCTGCATGACTCGTTGTAGCCTGAGCAGGGCCCATATTAGGTAGGTACTCGCTTAGATTTATTTACATTAAAC